TATGCCTCTTAACTGATTTTGTCACTGAGGTTCATTTTGACGACGACAGAATAAATAACTAACAAGCTAGGCATATCCTCAAATCAAGACCTAATCATGATTGCACATGTCCATTGATTGTTTATGTTTTCATGTTTACATATTGCGCCCTGCTTATTAATGACGTACTGTTAAGATGTGTATTCAAACAGTCCTTAATCATGTAGTTAATTTAATTCTTATTCCTCCAAACAAGTTCAGTGTAATATGCTGTTCATTCTCACTTGCATGCTGGTTACATTGTTCTCATCTGTTGTGGTGCTCACAACTCTATTTTGTCCCAGTTCATTATACAGCTACCGTTGACGTTCCTTTCTCTGGGCCTGGGGTTTAGCTATCTATCATTGCAGGACTTCAAAGTCTAGATGTACATAACTTCTATTTATTGCTTCAGGAAGAGTATGTCCGAGTATGATCCACGTCTTGTAGCTCCAACCTGCTTGTACCTGGCATCAAAAGCAGAAGAAAGCACGGTGCAGGCTAAACTTCTCGTATTTTACATCAGAAAAATATGTAAGTACTTGTTACTGAAAATAATAGATTACTTCTCCAACTTTTATTATGATTTACTTAATGTGAAGCACTCACAATTTACCACTTTTCTATTACAGATTCTGATGAGAAGTATAGATATGAGATCAAAGACATACTGGAAATGGAAATGAAGATTCTAGAAGCTCTCAACTATTATTTAGTTGTATATCATCCTTATCGTTCATTGTCTCAGTAAGTATTCTGTAGAGATAAATCCTTGTTTATCTGCTTAGTTCCCACCTTATTTAAGCTCTACAGTATTGCTTTATTTTGTTTCCCTCCATTGTTACTCTTAAACCTTTCAATTCCTGCAGATCATGAGTGGTTGGCACCATTGTATTTCCGCAAACATGTATACAGTCCAATTTAGTGTCATAGTTTTTAGCATACTAATAGAAGTCCAACTTTTAGTTTGCACCTAAAACTGTTATGTGTGATTCTGGTGATGCCATGAATGTTCTTCTTAGCTAGCTCACTCTCTCTATGTTGATAGGAAACTATCCTCTCTTCACTAAGAAGATTCTAAAAAGCATTTCACTCCATTTCTTTCCAGGTTGCTTCAAGATGCAAGCTTAAACGATATAAATATGACTCAGTTAACTTGGTAAGAGCCCAATCTCCGGAGTGGTTTATTTTCTGAAGGTGTGATACATATCTGCGTGCGTATCTAGCTGCTATTTATTTATACATATCTTCAGAAGGCCCACAAGTCATAGCCTTGTTATTGGAGGGTTTCTCTATCTTTAGGGCTCTGCTTGTTGTGAAGGCTTTTCATGCAAAGATGCTTCCAAAAAGAATGCAAGACTTAGGTCGAGCTGATAAAAGATGTTCTGTTTTTCTGTGTTTTCTGTATAAGCTTGAATTCACAGAATGCTTCTTTGGCATTTCGGATGAGTGAATTTTTGTATGTAGACATTCTGACCGTTTTTACACTTTAAGACGTAAGGTAACCTTGGCATGTTGATATACACAGGGGAGTGGTAAATGACACATACAAGATGGATCTTGCACTCGTACATCCTCCACACCTGATTGCTTTAGCTTGCATATACATTGCGAGCGTACTTAGAGAGAAAGATACCACAGCATGGTTTGAAGAGCTCCGTGTGGACATGAATGTGGTAAGTCTTTCGGATGTTTCTACATCCTTTCATTATTATCTGTCTACATATTTCATGTTCTGTGTGAGGCGTGACCCTAATTTGTCACATCAGTTGACTGAAGATATTAGATTAATTATGAGGCGTTCTTTCTATTCATACCCTGGGAATTAATTACGATGCATATTCTGGCAGGTGAAAAACATATCAATGGAGATATTAGATTTCTATGAAAACCACCGAATGATCCCGGAAGAGAGGTTTAATGCTGCTCTCAACAAGCTAGCCTTCAAACCCTAGATGGCTGGGCAAGCCTTCGTGCAAGAAGATTGTAAAGCTTACTGAGAAACCAATTGAATTGAATGAAGAAAAAAAGCCATTGTGCTCGCAGCAGTGTAACTATCAATGTATCTTTACATGTACTTGTAGATTTTCAAAAAGTCGAGTATATCAAATCTATCATTTCCACACCTCAATAAACATTTTGGGACACATGGGATTTTCCCTGGCTTCATTGGTACACTCTTTTCAAACAAAATTACTTAGCAAAGACAAAATCAGAAACACAGAGACTCAAAACCACAAAGACAAAATATGATTTCATATCACTCTTGATTCTGCTTAGCCTTTTCTCTTCTTCTTCGCCTGCTGCTTCTCTGTAATTGCACCAAATTCAAATCATACTATAAAAGTCAGTATCTTTGAAACAGAGAAGAAAAAAGAGAGAGAGAAATGGGTTAAGGGTAGAGAGACTAAGAACACTCGGCGCCTACCTAGTCTCCTCTTAGCTTCAGATTTAGCAAAGAACTCCTTCCACTCATCTGTTAAGACGAAAACTGGGTCATCATCCTCTTCCTCTTCCTCTTCCTCTTCAAACCCAACAACATCACCAATTTCACCATGCTTCTGTTGCTCCTGCAATGCTCTGTTGCCAAGAACCAACTAAAATGATGAGAAACCAATATAGATGGTGAAGTTGAAAACTTTAAGTGGATTTAGGGTAGAATCGTAATTGTACGCTTCTTCGTACCCAGAAGTCTCTGAAATCAAATGGGTTTGAAAAGGAATAGCAGCAGCAGCAGCAGCAAAGTGTTCTGGGTTTTGAGGAAAAGGCGCAAAATTGGTGTGTACGTGGCAATTGAAGAGGGTGCGATTGTTCTGGAGATGAAGATGATGGTGGTGGTGATGGTGAGGGCAGAGGAACAAGGGATGGTGGTGGCGGCGATGGTGGTGGGGATGGTGAAGTAAGCACGGTCTCCGTGGCCTGCATCCATGTGGAGGATCCATGGGTTCTTGGAAGAGTGAGATCAATGATGGGCAGGGCAGCTGCTAGAAATCAAATTTCAAGATCCGAAGACCCGAACTGGATAATGGGTTGAAAGAACGGGCTGGCCAATGGGTAGGGCCGATTTGGCCCAACTGAATATTTTTCTTTAACTTTATGAACAATGGGCTTCCATCAATGAAAGGAGAATGGGTTGATAGATGAGAGTAGAAACATGAAACAGATTTGAAGAAGTTGGTGTGGTGAGAGGTTCAATTCAATCGTTTAATGTTGAGGTGAGGAGTTTCCTTATCGGACAACTATCTAAGGGAGTAATTATAAAATATTACGGTAGTATAATTACGTGGTACATCTTGGATATGTGTTATAATATGAGCGGACGACATAGTTTATTTTCTCATATTTTATAAAATAGTGTCAATAAATACACTTATATTATAACACATATACAAGATGTACCACATGACCATACTACCGTATTATTCTATAATCATTCATATTAAGGCCATCTTCAAGCGAGTGCTATATCCTCAAATATAATCCAAAATCCCCAAAACCCATCTTTAAGAGTGGGTTACACAAAGGGCTACAAAAAATAAAAAAGGGAGGGCTACACAAGGGGCCAATTCCTAAAATGAGGGTCACATGTGGCCCCTTGGCTAGCCTAGGCTAAATACTTGGAGGAGGCCCAGCTGTTGACGTCAGTTAGTTTTTTTTTATTTAAAAAATTCTCATATATTTTATATAAATACCTACCTCATTCTTACATAATTTATGACACCATCTTCATAATTGTACATATTATCATTCCTCAATTTCATCCTTCTATGTAATTTTTCACAATATCTTCATTTTTTTACAAACTATCCTTCATTTTTTTTTTCATTTAAATTAATTTTAAAGTTGTTTTTAGAATAAGAAAAAATTTAATCATAAATCTATAGGGCTAATCATGTGCCGACACGTGGATGTTAAAAATTTATATTCCACAAAATTTTTATGAAAAAAATTTAATTTAAATAAATAAATAAATATATATATATATATAAAGCAAAAGCCCGAGAATGGTGAAATATTCAAAATACCAGAAAATGCCCTTGGTTAGTACAAACATTAAGAATTGAAATTATTAATTAATTGATGATAATATGGTAAATTCACAGTTTTTCATATTTAAAAAAATTAAAATTAAAAGAAAAATTAGATAATTGATCCTATTTTTATGGAACACAACTACCCATTATTATTTTTAATTCTAATTTTTTTTTATAAATTTATAAATAAAAGTCCTCTCGCAAGTGCGGAAGCGCATGCGAAGAGGCTAGTTAATTACTGAATTAAACAAAATTTTAGCTAACAAATGCTAATTAAGGCATTAGTCTAAGTTTAGCCATTTACTAATGGAGACGATTAAAACGTAGCCTGACACTGCCTAAGGGCCCTCTTCGTTATAATTCATCATCATAGCCTCATTGAGATTACCAAGTTACTTTAAATAACATCCATGATTCTTTATTTCTATGAAATACAACATCCATGATTCTTATCTTTTCTATGGTAGTGTAAAATTTATGTCAACGATATTGAAACCCTTGATCTAGTTTAATCCCCTAACTCGTTTCTTAGCACCCAATTTTTTTTCTTCTTTCGCTTGAGCTAACCGCAAACTCTTGAACCAATCCAAACTCTATTATGCCACAAATAACATTAGATCCGTTGGAACAAAGAGATATGCTATTTTGGAATAAAGTTAATATACATTGACTTCTTGTAGAACCTCTAAGCACCACTGGCTAATAAGATAGAATATACATGGCATTGCTCTCCTTAGATCCTCGAGCAAAAAGTTCGTATGCAATGATTTTCGTAAAACCCTTGACGACCACTAAGATTTGATGATAGAATAGAATAAATGAACTTTATACACAAAGATCCATTGACCATAAAGGAAACCCACCAAACTAGAGTACAGATCCAAGATATGCGGTGGGTGAGAGTTCTTAATTTCTTCGTTTTGGTGGGTTGGTGGAACGTAAACGCACACCATTCTACACCAATCCCATATACCATTTGGTAATTTCTGGCTTGGTGTTTCTGACTTGAAGCGTCAAATGTTCTAATAATTTTATTGTCTATATATTGATTCATATGACACGAGAACAGAGCAGACATAGCAGAGAGAGCGAAATAAAAAAGAGGAAAGAACCGTGTGGTTAGTTGTCAGCGACCCAGGTCCTCCGGTCCCGTACAAAAAAACACAGCCCCAAAAGCCCAATCCACAGCCTCCCCCCCTCATGTGGGCAATTGGGTCCCACATTCCGATTAGAGACGAAGATCCACACATTCAAACGTCGAACTGGCAACCCTACGTCTCATTCTCACATCCCCTTAAGGCCTTAGCCTCCTCCTCCTCCTCTCTTTATAGCTCACTTCGTTAACTGAATAGGTTGATCATCTGGGTACCTCGGGATTATTGGTTTTGCGAGGATCCTATTGTTTGGTCATCTGGGTAGCTTTGGTTTTTAGTTTTCTTATTGATTCATTACTGGTTTTGGGGAAAGATTTGCTTTTTATTTCCTGTGACTCATCTTTCTTCTGTTAAAGTGGGCACCTTTGGTTTTGATTGATTTCGCAATTTGAATTGCCGTGTCTTTGGGTGTTTGAAATCTGTAACTTGATTTGCGATCTGGGTCGGTGCTGGTTTTTGTTGGTTTTTGTGGTCTGTCAATGGGCGCTTTGGATGAGGGGCATTTCTGCTCGGAACTTGAGAATGGAGTGAAATTGGGTTGCATCGAGCTGAGTTTTGAGGAAGAACCTGAAACCATAGCTATTGAAGATGCTGTGAAAGTTCTCATGCAGGGTCTGGGAGAGGATGTTAACAGAGAAGGTTTGAAGAAGACGCCTCTTCGCGTTGCCAAGGCCCTTCGGGAAGGAACAAGGGGTAACTATATTCTCAGCCTTGTTCTGTTATAGTTTGTTTACTATTTGAAATTTGCGAAGCTTGCTACTTCAGTTCCTAGAGTTTGTTTTCTTTCCTGTTGTGTTAATAACATGGTGGGGGCATGGTTCTAAATCATTCTTTCATTGTATATTTGATTTGGACAGCCTTTTCATTCGTTATTCTAATAGCTACCAATTATTATTGAGGCTTGAGTTGTTCGTTAGCTGTTAGGATTTGATTCAAGTTTGTCAGCACTTTAATACACTTAGTGTAATATTATAAAATTTCCGTGTTAATCCCAAACTATTGGCATTCTATTTGCGTGTGTGCGGATGAAAAAATGTTTGTTGTCTTAGATGGTGACAGTAGTGTATACTTTCAAAATTTGCTTGGCAAGTCTACAGGATCATGGTACGAAAATGTTTGATTTGCAATCCTCGTGGGGCTATATTGCTAAAAATTCCTTTCATGTTCACTCTTTCAAGCTGCTGACATTGCACCCATGGATGACGTTGCTGGATTAACCCTTCGTGGACATTTTTAGCAATGATACAAAATACCTTCCTCTCACCAACCTGCCTCCTTATTGTCCTCAAAGACTCTTGACCTTTCAGATGTACATGATTCAATTTTTTTTTTTTTTTGTAATTTCTTTTATCCTTGTTTTCCTTCCCAAACTAACGGGTCAGAACCATCTCCTAGAGAGCAAAGCATGGAGCGTGTTTATGTTGGTGGTGCTGATTTATTTATGCAGCATAGATCATGTTTCCTGATTCAATCAAGTATTTTTATGTGGGTGGTGCTGATTCCTCTTAAAGTATTCACCTGAAAACAAAGATATGCATACTGATTTTAAACCCTCAATTCTTTTCCAGGTTACAGACAAAAGGCTAAGGACATTGTGCAAGGTGCTTTATTTCCTGAATCTGGTCTCGACAATACAGTTGGTCATGCTGGAGGAGCTGGTGGACTCGTGGTTGTTCGAGATCTTGACCTCTTCTCGTATTGTGAATCTTGTATGCTACCATTCCAGGTTAAATGTCATGTGGGCTATGTCCCTTCTGGTCAACGGGTTGTAGGCTTAAGCAAGCTCTCTCGAGTAGCTGATGTGTTTGCAAAACGTCTCCAAGAGCCTCAGCACCTAGCAGACGAAGTGTGTTCAGCTTTGCAGCATAGCATCAAGCCAGCAGGTGTTGCAGTTGTACTCCAATGTTTACACATCCCTTTCCCAAAAGTAGAATTAGCTTTTCTTGACTCGAACCACCAAGGATGGGTAGAGTTACTGGTTAGTTCAGGTTCAGGAGTTTTTGAGAATGAAAATGCCAATCTTTGGGCAGATTTTTTGAATCTTCTGAGATTCAGAGGCATAAATGTCGAGAAAAATCGCATGAGAGACTCAAGCGATCAACACTGGTGTCCATCTCGATCCCCCTCAGGTGATATTGCTGCCTCCAAGATTGAATCAGTTAATCAGGGTATGGTCACTGCAGTAGCTTCAATTCTTAGGTCGTTAGGTGAAGACCCATTAAGGAAGGAGCTTGTAGGAACACCTGCTCGTTTCGTGAAGTGGTTGATGAACTTCCAAACTACTAATTTAGATATGAAGCTGAATGGCTTTGTTTCTGACAGGGTGGATCCTCTAAAGTTCAATGGGGATGGCTGCAAGGAAAAGAAAATCCACTCTGAGCTGAACTTGTCATTCTGGTCGCAGTGTGAGCATCATCTACTTCCCTTCTATGGTGTTGTGCATATAGGATATTTGTGCACTGAAGGATTCAATCCCATTGCGAAATCTCTTTTACAATCGATTGTATGTTTCTACGGTTTCAAGCTCCAAGTACAAGAACGACTCACCCGGCAGATAGCAGAGACTATATCATCACTGTTAGGTGGAGATGTGATTGTGGTTGTGGAGGCAAATCACACCTGTATGATCTCGAGAGGCATCGAGAAGTTTGGAAGTAGTACAGCGACAATTGCTGTACTGGGTCGATTTTCGACTGACCCTGCTGCAAGGGCTAAGTTTTTGCAGAGCATTCCAAACACTGCATTTTCAGGACGATGATCCGAGTTCATCCATCTATTAAATGTCTATTTCTTTCGAAGTTATTTCTTTGCATTGGATTTGCTGTTAGCCATGGTGCCAGCATGACAGCGATAAGTCGAAGATCAAAGATCAAAGATCATCCTTTGGCCAATCTGGGTCTTGCCCATTTTTGTGATGGTGCTATTGAAGTTTCAGTTGAAGGTCCAGACTGTCTGGTAACACAGGATTCTAAAGTTTTGTATTTTTATCATCCATTCTGTAGCATAAGCCCTTGCAAGATTCCAAGGCGCGTCTTTGTTTTAAAGATTATATATTTTCTCATGTAATTTTTTTTTTTTTGAATACGAAGGATATTCAATACGAATAATACGTTTGATAGTTTATTACATTGATTCTGTTTGTTTATCAATTTCTTTTACACTGTTTGTTTTACTTACAGGCTGTGGGATTAATTGTGATTAGGAAAGGGAAGGCTCTGGCTTTTATTCACAAAGATTAGGTTAAAGGGCGTTCTGTGGAAGTTGTGGGCATGCAAATATCGGATAAAATGGGAAGAAAAAAAAAAAAGTACTTCCAAGGTAAAAAGGTTTTCTGTACAGAATCCAAAATCAGTAAGATAGAAAGAAAAAAACAGAAAGGAGAGATTGCTTGAGGTGAAAGAGATTCACATGCATATACAAAACAATATAAACATCAGCATTTAGCCACATATATACATTCCAACCGGTAACCACGTGAGTTTAGACTCTACAAGAGTGAATCATAAGAGATGAAAACAAACCAACTTAGTCGCCTAACCACAAGTGTCGGATTTTACTCCAATCTATCCAAACATCACGGTCTAACCACAAGTGTCGGATTTCACTCCAATCTATCCAAACATCAGGTTCTGTCCTAGGTTCCTGAAGTTCTGCTTGGGGCGTAGGGCCATGGCCAGGTTTTTCCCTGCTTTTCTGAGCTTTTGTCCTAATGTTGTGAAGTTCTGCTTTGGGCAAGGGGCCATGGTATATATGCTCTTCGGACGAAGGGTCATGCTGAATATGCGCTAGAGGCGGAAGGCCATGCTGAATATGTGCTTGGGGGGAAGGGGGCGGAGGCCCATGCTGAATATGTACATCGGGCGAAGGGCCATGCTGAACATGCGCTTGGGGAGAAGAACCATGGCCCTGCTGAAGATTCATTTGAGGCGAAGGGCAATGCCGAATGTCCACTTGGGACGAAGGGAAAGGACCATGCTGAATACACGCTTGATAATTCATACACCATATATTGATGGCAATTCCAAGGATTACTAACAGGAGCATACCTGGTAGTAACAGTGACATGGTAGGAACCTGCATGTAATTGATAAAAATCAGCAAACCTACAAAGCCATTTAAAATACTTGGACAATAGCATAGCAAACAGACGGGCCAATTCGGCTGAACAGTTCTTTTCTGGTAGGGGTTGAACAAATTTATTATTGAACGATGCATGAATTTGAAGGATCATTTAGAGCCATGCTGAGATACGAGATTTGGTGGGTGTGCATATTAGAAAATATTTAGGCTCCAAAAGCTGACTGTTGCATGTTAATCAGGAAGTTCTAGCACTGATTGTGATTTGTAAATAAAAAATGAAATTTCAAAGTAGTACATAGTTGAAGTTATCACATTCATGCCACTCAGTATATGTCATCCTTTAGCACAAATAGTTCAAGGAAAAAGAAAAAGAAAGCAAAAGAATATATATCACTGCTTGTAAAAAAAATACCTTTCTTTTATGGGGAAGATTTTTCTCAGCACGCTCAAGCGAATAGCGTAACATGTCAACTATTGCCAACTCAGTTACCGGATCACTGCTTTCTGCTAGCACACAGAGTTAAATTTAATTCTGTACAATTAATTAGTATGAAGCCCATACCGGAGAGGGTGATAACTTTAAGGGTTACCTGGGATGTCAAAAACTTGAGTTGCGGGTGGAATACCCAGTAGTTCTCCCAAATGGACACGAACATGAGCACGTTGAACAGGTGAAAGTAGATCACCATGCGTGACAACAACTAGGGGTTTATCATCTGGAAACAAAATGGAGATGCAGAGACTAAACACCTTAAAAATTTCAAGTTTCCACCACTTCCCTTCTCTCTTACCCTATAAAATTGAATCAATGAAATATTAAAGAAAAGTTTGAGTCATTAAAATTCGATACCTTTAAATGCCAGGTATGGGCAGTTGAAAGCTGAAGCAATCATTTGGGTGTATCGAGTCTCTGCATCTTCATCACTTTCTATTGATTTCAGAACTGAAAGGCCATTAACAACAAATATGACAAAATTAACCTTTCTGATCTCACTGGACAGATAACCATCATCACGAGCTTTGCACATCATCATGGTCCTCAAACTTTGGCTGTCTGAATCCCTGAGAGTCCATTGAGATAAATTGACGTGAATGACAGTAGACAAATTCCTAAAACCCAAAATGAGAGGGATGTGATGAATTAGAAATTCAGACCTGATAACAAGCTCCCCATGACGAACACCATTTTTCATCCAATGCTGCAGTATTTTTATGTTTTCATGTGAATCATCAGACAAACTGCGGGTATCATAGAGGCAGAAAGAAGTGGAACATCTCGGTATCATATATTCCTGGAGGAAAAAGGTTCCATCTCCAACAGATGAATTATCTGGCAAAGATAACAATACACATGAAGCTGTAGAACACAAATAACTTAAGTTCATCCCATAATACAGCAAATTAGCATATTTTATTATTCACAACTGCAGCCATACATGATACTTGGGCTCTTTCTGATGCAAACTTGTCATCTTCAAACACCTTTGATATTCTATTTACAAGACTACTCTTTCCAGATCCTTTTGGACCAACCAATAAAACATTTGTCGTCTTTGGCACATCATAGTCCCTCAATTTCACAGCACCTACACTTTCAATCCATGCACCAGGAGTGTAGCTGTAAAATTCAAGGGGACACATCACTTCAAGCAACCAGACTACCATTCTAGCCATCACATAAATATTAACTTGAATTAATACCTCAATACTTTAATCTTGGCTTCTTCCAAACCTTTGCTCCGAATCCGCAGTCCGTCATTACTCAGCAAAATTTCTCTATAAACACTTTCCCTCCTCTTTTGTTTGACTTCAAAATCCAAAGAAGACGACGAAAATCGAGAATCCACACTGTCAAGTTCTCCAAGCACCGACCCATTTAGTGTACCTACTGCAGCATCCTTGACATTCATGCTTAAATCATTTCTGCTCCATTGAAAACCAGAACCACTTTAAAGTTTCAAACTTTCTCAAACAGCATAAAAAATTTCAACAAACAAAACTTGCGTTTTTGTGATTCAATGCTACAAATAAGAAATTGAAATATGGGTTCTAGCAATATCGGCACAAGGCACATAATCCAGAACCAAATTTGATCATAAACTGAATGGAATTTATGAGAATTCATGAGCTACCTGAGAAGTGGAGATGAGAGCTGAGAAGAATCTTGCTCCAGCGAAAAGTCTTCCCCTGTATCTGCATATTGAACCCACTCAGCCACATCGCATGTAAAAACGCCACCTTCAAAAACTTTGCGTTAAGAGAAAAATGGGTGATCAGAGAGTTTACCACTGCCAGGAGGAGTTGTTATATCGCCACCCATGTCAGCTCGCTTTGCACTTGCAGCCTTCACACCGTGAGAGAGAGAGAGAGAGAGAGAGAGCAAGAAGTAGCAGACTAATGGGTTTTTTTTTTGGGGGTCAAAAAATAGAATAACGCTTAGGAAGGATTGATAGTTAAGAAACCAGGTTGACGGAGACGGCGTGCAAGCCACGCGAAGTGATCATACGCAAGCTGCTGCCATATGTCATGGTATCTGGATGCCGATTGGGTACAAGCTAAATAAAATAATATTCTCAATTTATTTTCTTTCAGAAATAATATTTGTCAAGGAAATTATTATTAATTTTGAAAAACCAAAGGGAATCACAAAGAAAATCCTCCAATATCGTATCAAGAAAACATATTGCTGCTTCTTTGTTTAAAATCTTCTGGGGAAGTGAGGAATGGGAAAGAACCCATATTTTGAGTTGGGCATGTTTTTGTTTTTATTTATTTATTTTTGCATAACACCAGAAGGAAATAAGAAGAAATATTCAAATACAATGAATTTAAATAAATAAAAACGTCGATGACCGTTTAAGCAAAAAATTTACAGATTTGAAGTGGTTTTTTTATTCAAATTTTCATTGGTTAAAATCTCCGTTTAAGCATATATTCCAAGAGATAAATTTATGCTAGTGGCATTCTTTTCCTTCTTGGTGATCAGTTCCATGGTCAACAGTAAACTAAGGATAAAAACAAAACATTTTTTTCTTTTATGTGTATAATTATAAATAACCAAATGCCACCAAGAAGTTCAAAGGAGACAAATGATAAGCAAACTAATATAAAAAAAAAAATTATGTGGATTGTCCCCAATTTTCATTATGTCTCAGTAAAATGTAAGAAAAAATTTGGTGCCACAAGGCCTACAATGGCAATGTGGTTCTCCTTTTGGTGGTATATGTTTAAAACCTAAGTTTCTACCTAACAAAAAATCTATACCTATTAACCTCTGAACATTCAACTAAACTTATCCCTCCCTCTTCACCAGCCATGGGAAATGTATCTGCTGATGAGGCACGAAAAACCCTGCTTGCATAACAAAGCCCTGAAAAAGATGCACCACAAAGCAGTTAGTTTACATAATGATCTGATCCTATGTAAATCAGATGCAAGACAAGAAAGTTAGAACAATCATACCTGAACAAATCTAAGGCAGATATCAGAAAAAGATGCAGTAGCAGACTAGGCCTCAAAACCCAGAGGATGGTTTCTTCTCATTAATGCTACTTTGGGTTCGCAGATGCAGACACTTGGGGGATCATAAAAGGAAGTCAAACCTACTCAATATCAGTATGGGATGACATATGGCAGAGCATAAACATCCAGAAGAGACTCTATTTGCATAGCTTCTGCCCATACTTGGGGAGTCATTTCAATCTCAGGGGATCCCACTTTGGGTTTCTTTGACCCTGAACCATTGCCGCCGAGCAGCCATTCCTGATCGTCAAGATTGGACTCATCCGCCATCTTGGGAATGGAAAGTATCTCACTCAGATACTTGGAATCAGGATGTGGTGGTTTTGCAGATGCTCCACCATTCTCATTAACTTTAACACGAGAAGATGATGGCTTTGTTGAGAATGCATTGAGTTGTTCAGGCCCTCTCAAACCATTAATTCTGTGTTCCTTGATATCTGCTTTACAATCGCTGGCTGCCCCCTGTCCCTCTGATAAAAACTGGAGAACAGTTTGGCTTGGTTCTGATTTCCTCCCATTTTCCACTACTGGGTGAGAAGAAACAGATCTTGACAACTTATGAGGCAGAAATCCATTTTCTGGCATAAAGTTTAAAGAATAAGGTACAGATAAGATTGTATCCCTCAATCTCAACTAAAACAGATGTATATAAATTTCTTTTCTTCGTAAGTACGTCTATAAAAATTATAATCGCAAGAAAACCGTTATTCAATCAGTAGCTCGAGGTTTTGGCAGAAAAGTATTTGGAGATTAAATAAACATGCAACCTATATAACAATGAGCGTTTAGGAGCTGGAACATCTATAAGTAACATAGGCCTCTATTACCATCCGGGAAGACACACATCTATGTGTGTTTCCACTCACTGAATGGAAAATAGAATCCCTCAGTGTCATTGTTTTTGCAAAATAGGAAACGACTCACCGTGTAAATATCCATTCATCTCAAGTTCCTTGCGTTTGCCAAGAATTCCCCCAGCAGCAGATTTCTTGCTATTCATCTGTAAAAGGTTTAATGCTTTATTACTGAAAGCATCTAGGGATTCCTTGCCATTTCCTTCTAGTTTAGGCTGTTCATCGGATGGTTTGCTTATCTCCTTCACCTTCTCCTTCCTCTCTTTCTTCTTATCCTTGTCCTTATCCTTCGATTTAACTTTCTTCTCTTTATCTCTCTCCTTGGGTTTATGACCTTTACTGTCATTATCTGTGTTTTTCTTCCTTGCTCTTCTCAATTGGCTTAGCAATGCCTTCAAGTCTTCTTTGCTCAATGCTAGGGATGTTTTCAAAAAATGCCTCCGCTGAACATTTTCCCTCGACATGGTTTCTTTGTGCATTGGCAGTCCTATCATCTTCTTTCTTATCCTTAATTCTCTCTTTTTCTCTGGACTGAGTTGACAACAAAGGTTTTTGATCAGAAACCATAATCTTCTGAACAACCGGACTTCCTGTTGCTCTTTCACTATTCCTATAGACTTCCAGTTGCTTCTCAATTGGCTTAGTAATGCCTTCAAGTCTTCTTTGGTCAATGCCCGGGACATGTTGAACAGTTTTTCCCTCGATATGGTTTCTTTGTGCATTGACAGTCCTATCAACTTCTTTCTTATCCTTAATTCTCTCTTTTTCTCTGGACTGATTTGACAACAAAGATCTTTGATCAGCAACCAAAATCTTCTGAACCACCTGACTCCCAGTAGCTCTGTCATCATTCCTACATCTCCGATCCAATTCCTGCACGTATTTATAATCCTTGATGTCAACATTATGGAATCCGTTTGGAACATGATTCTGTCCATTATAAGACTCTGACTGCCCTTCAATTCTCTTCTCTTCTGATGTCCAAGTAATCCCATTATCCCCACCCCTTTCCTTCTTGTCTTTGTGCTTTTCTTTTCTGTCTTTCCTTTCACCATGTTTTTCTTTACTTCTGTCTTTGTCTTTTTTCTCCTTACCGTCTCTTTTCTCTTTGTCCTTCTTATCCTTTTTATGCTTTTTCTCCTTGTGCTTCTCCTAAAAATAATATCCCCATGAGGAGCAGTGTATTTAGTAAAAATGCGAAATAATTCATAGAAACTTAAAGGAAAACAATAAAAAGAAGCACATGTTAGTACAAAATCCTCCTGAAAACAAAGAGTGAGAGACACAAGATGCAAAACACTGCTAAGGGTGGTGTGCTGGTCAGAGTACTTGTCCCTCAAGCTCAACGCTTAGGGTCATGTTGCTACACCCTCACACAATGCTATGAGATCTTGCCTAGTTAATTTTTTGAAGAGCTATTCAGAACAACAGTCCCTGTTTAGCCCTTTTTAAAATCACAAAAGAGTACGGCAGTTGTGAAACAGTATCCCTTTTTTTTTTCCTTTTATGTTTTTTAGTTCCTCTTCTTTTGCTTTGATAGACATAAATATAATAATTTTCAAAAAAAAAAAAAAAACAGCAGAGAAAATATTTTACACGAATTAAGAGACACCTTTACTTTCTATTTTTTTCTCAGTTCCTATTATTTTCCTTCATGTATACTGAACACTACACAAATGATGATGACGATGAATTGTGAATACAATATTTATAAATAAAAAAATGAGATAGCAGACACAATATGCCAATTTGTAATATCAAAATAATGATATTATCACATTCAGAGAATTTGACACTTCTTGAACACTATCGACAGAACTTTAACAAAACAAAGATGAGACACAGTTTACCAAACAAGAATTCAATGTCCTTCCAGAGTCCAACCATCGCACTATACAGGTGTTAAAAATTCTTTAAAGGAACCTAGGGTCTAAGCTAATATGACATGTTCAACCAAGGCAATAAGAATCTTTTTTATGCAAGAGCAGACTAGGAAAGTATCCCATCAAAGTTATTATGAACCAACATGTCCCATTTTTATCATGCAGGCCAGATGGGTGCTTGTGTATGCAAAATGTTCCAGATACTCATCCCATACGTATACCGTTTCATGCTAAACAAAAAAAATTTACACATTATATAGGACCAAGAAAAAAGGATAGACATTTTACTAACAAAAAAATGGTTACTCATGCACTGGGAGGGAAATTCAATAGAGTTGGGCTACCCTACGTGAGAAATGCATGTAACAAAACTAATCCCACAAAATGATAATCACTTGAGTTAAAAGTCAGATAGCAACCAATTGCTCTCACCTTTTTCACATATGTCATGAAACCTCTATATGCCTATTATGGCATGAATCTTGGTATCCAAGGACTTTCCCATGGAAAAATCTTTTTTTTTTTTCTGCTCGGTTACCTACATAGGATGTGTATCATAAGACTTTTAAAGTACTAGGGTAGACTGAATATATTTCATGACGCGGTCAAAACTAGTCTCTCTGACAATCTGGTCATTCAAGACAGTTGCAAATTTAATGTGCCTGCCCCTCATAATCTTCCTCCTAAGAGTACCCCATGACTTCATCAGTTAAAACCTACATAAGACATAAGTTTCATGGCCCCGTAGCACAGCCTCCAAAAGTTAAAATGACAAGGAAGCAACTGATGAAAATCCAACACATGCATATAAAAATGCAGGGATTAACAAACAAGAACTCATGAGAAACGAATGTAAATCAATTCTGCAATGATAAAAAGGAAAATATGTAGACCTTTGCAAGTAAGTCTATATCATTGATTCCAACTTTCTTTTCATATCCTGGAGGAGGAAATGGAAAGCAGCGAGACATTGCACGCAATCCTTGAAATGGAAAAGTGGGATCCGTCCACCAGCAGAAATGCTTCTCCTAGTTTCCAGTACTGTTGTTCCAACACAGGAACAGAGCAGAAACAATGCTCCTGTCCATGCACCATGACCCCAAACTCATTTCCAGCTTAAAAATCACTCCATGATCTACTAAAATCAACCCAAAGCCAAAACTGATGATAACCAATATGCAAGATCTCCTCTTATCACAGTGTTACTTCTAGGATTGCACAATTTATGAAAATCTGACACAAAAACTAAAAGTATCCAAAGGCTCACATGAACTACTCCACTATACCAAACTCTGTATTAATTCATCTCTATCTATCCAGATAAGACAGCATTCAATCACGCTCATGTCCAAGCAACCGATTTGTCGACAAATTTAGAAGTTCTGCAGCAATCTGATCCTCTGTCTTTCTTACTAGGCCAATAGAGAATGATCACCTGCTCATCAGCAAAAACCAACATCAGGAGCATGTCCTGACTATAAGGCCAAAAATTCATACAACAAATGCAACACAGACCACAACCTTGAAACGAAAGAATCCGTGTAATTTTAAATGGAACACAGATAATCCTCAACTTTTAAATGGAAGCCGTGTAATTCCAAGCTTCGCTTTCTATTTACAACAGTGAATCTTCTTACAATGACCCCTAATACTATAAAAATCACAATTCGGGTTTCTCCCAGTGACGATTTGGCCAAACCCTAGAAAAATCACCAGAAGAATATGTCAGACACAAAACCCAGTTGCAAATAAAGACTAATTCCAAAAATTTCAATCCCAAAATACATGAAAACCCATAAAATTAAACTAAACCACTAGAATCCCGCGAAAACAAATTAAGTTGCATACTTGGGATTGAGGGTTTTGATTTTGATGGTTCCAGAGAGAGAAAAAAAAGAAAAATTTCACGGGAGGGAAGATAAAACAAAGAGAAGAACTTTTGGTTTTTGCAAAGTAGACATTGTACATGAATAAGAATATGAAGATCTCATTCCAAAAAGAGAGAGAGAAGAAAAGAGGGATTTATCAAACTCTCTCTTTTTCTCTCTCTCTCTCTCTCTGTCCAATCTAGCTATGTGTATGTAAACATGTATGTGTGTCTACCTCTCTATCTTTGTATGAGTGTGTATTTGTAAATGGGTTTTGTGTATGTGAGCAATTTCAGATCTTCAAATTGTTTGATGATGCGGGGTTATTCTCAGGGAAGAGGGTTTTCTCTCTCTCTCTCTCTCTCTTTCTCCGAATGTTCTCAGTCCTCTCAAATCCCCTTAAAAGGGAAGAGAAAATAGAGGGAAGGGCCAAAGGGGAAATGGGGTATTTATAAAAGAGGAATGGATATACGTGTCAAATAAAAAGAAGAATCCAGACGCCAGACAAATCACAATAAACATGAGAGAGAAATGGTAAAATATGGTTTGGTAAAATTAACTTACCCTTTTTCTACTATGTGTTTGAGTTTAAAAAAGAACACTTTTTTTTTATTAAAAAAAAATATAAGTCATAGTCTAAATTAAAAAAAGAAAGAATTTCGCACACATACTACCAAGGTGTCTTGAAGGTTCGAACTTGAGATCACTATTCTATAAGACCCACTTTCACTAGATTAAATCTCGTTGGTCAAATAAAAAAGATTACTTTATTAGTAATCACACAAGTTTGTTATGTCTTATAATATTAATGAATGACATAATTGATATATCTATAACAGAAGAAATATTTTAAAATATAATATAATAAATAAATTCACATTTTACAACATGAATAAATTAATAACACCTTGTGAGGACAACCTTCACACCAAAAAATTCTTGAGTTTTTTCTTTGAGTTTGAGGTAATAAATCTGTTTTTTTGGCCAAAGGTATCAAATGTTTGATATGATGCATTTGCTTCTTCCACAACAAAGCCACGTGTGCTTGCCGCCCATTTGCAGTCTTTATGTGAAGCAATTCGGCAGCGTCACTTGTCTTGTTTTGCTTTTATCATCACATCTCATCTTCATTGTCTGTCGCAATCTCAGTGCGTGTCCACTTAAATATGGCACATATAAAATACCAACACAGACAAAACGATTGAAAACTGAAGAACTGATACTGAACATGGCAAGAGAAGTTTGTGAATTTGTGAGATTTGCGGCTATCAAAAATTGGAGGCAAGTAGGTAGCATAATGTTAGGATATTGCATCTTATAAAAATACAATCTTTTTTGTTGCTTATCTAGTCGGTTTTAATATAATCGTATTTATCGTCCTCCTAATAATGTTGAAAAATATTTCAAATTTGAATCTCATGTTACACGTTAATAAAAGAAAGAATCATTTTTGTTGGCCCATTATTAGTGGAAAAATTTATTTGCAAAAACTGATTGAGTTTCAGTTATGCACAGATTTTGTGAAATGATAATTGTTCCTTAACAAATTGGTGCACACGTTTTTTTTCCTGTTATTTTCACCCCTTTAAAAGCTGTCATTAAGATAGTTTTTTCGTGGGTGTAAATATTCTCAATCGTCAACTGTCGTATGGGTCAAGGCACGAGAATCAACACGGACTACTTGATGTCGAACGTCACTAAACCAAGCATGTTTTGGGGCACAAAATCAGGCAAGTTGCAAAAGTTTGTCAAGGGTTTGTTTTTTCTTTTTTCTTTGTTGCTGCCTGAAACCTTTACAGAATGCAACCCACTCTTCGGATTCTCGAGAGTATTTTATGCTAATCATCAAAAATTTTCAGAACACAACTGTTCGAGACACCGATACTCGAGTAAAAATTCAAATAAATTCAACAAACCAGAAAAAAAGCACATGGGATTAGGGGAATGCATGTGTTTTGAAAATATATTGAAGATTGACTTTTCACTATTAATGAATCAGAGAGATGTTTTTAATACACTCTACATGTTCATGGTACAGTGACAGACTATATGACTGTCCTCAGTAACACTTTGTATTAACAGATGTAATAAATTACAGCCCCGCATTATTCAGTGAGAGACGAGTTTATTAACTCAATTCATTCAGAGGCAATGGCTTTGTGGGAAGGAAGAAGACATGGCCGACAATGGACCATCTAAGATGTTAGGCTGCAACGATGGGATGGAGAAACCAGCTGATTGTGGAACTCTGACTGATGTATGTTGAATTGAACTGCCAGAAAGGGGTGGAGATGAGTTGATATCATGTTAGTAATGTTCATATGAAAAAAAACTTATCGACCACAAGACAACTATTGTATCAGCCATAGCTTCTTGGTCTGTCACGTTTTTCTTTTGTTTCTTCCATAGGTAAATTACACAAGCACAGAGCAGATAAGTATAGTCTATATCGGCACATGAACTGACCTGAATGATAAAGAAAAGGAAGGCTCTACTGGGGCACGGATTCCACCTTGATCAGGAGGCATTAGAGACCAAAAAACTGGAGAACAGTGACAAGAGTACATCAATTTCAAGAAAAATGAAGCTAAGAAGAGAAGGCAAATAGTTTTTTCTTCTGTCTTCCCGAAGAAAAATGTTAAATTTGATCCACATAACCATCTTCTTCTTAATTATGGTTAGATGCATTTGCAGTAAAAAGGGAAAAATAATCAGTAACCAAGTAAAGAGATTTTGAATTTTCCCTGGCATTTGAGCAAACTATCCAAATAATTGGAGGCTTTAGAAGGAGGAGAAAAGAAGTTTTCTTCAGAACAACTTGCCAGAAATTTTGCTTGCACAACTGTATAAGTAACCATTAACAAATTTCTCTTCCTAATTAAGGTAGGCCAACTAATCTGAAAGGATGATATTAGAGAAAGATGCAAAGAATTACCAGATCGTCCTGTATGATCTTCCAAACCAGAGCAAAATAAAGAATCCTGCATAATGAAATTAACAAAATTCATACCACAATAAATATCTAGCATTAAGGATCTAATGCTAGAAGATGCCACAAAACAAAAGCATCTCTAGAAAAGAAGCCCATTCACTCACCTCTTTTATATGCTGCGATACATCATGAACCACATCTGCAGGCAACAATTACATAATAAGATGAAAATATTCCTCCAAAAAATTTATACATATGAAAGAAACCGAAAAATAGAAAGAATCTACAAAAAAGGGGGGGAAAGTCCAGATTTTCCAAAGATTATGACTTCTCAAATAAATCCTTGAAATGTGATGGGAAATCAATTCTGCTGAATTTAGAGGAATAATCAATACTCTTAGTTATGAAATACAGAGGAGAAAAATGGAAGCATCTCCAGTCTAACACAAATGATGACATTTAAACTTGAAATCCCATATCCTAAAAATAAAAAAAATAATGATGCATGGGAAACAAAATTCACTTCAAATGTGTTATGTGAATCAAGTAAAATAACGTGCTACAAGGTGTTGAAATTCTTTCATTTCAACAGTCCATCCGGACTTGCTAAGCAAAATCCTAATATATCTTAAACTTTGAGTGGTCGAATAGTGCCAATGCCTAGAGCATGAAATGAAGCAGGTTCTGGGCCAAGAATGCGCTAAAACAGAAGACGTGGCTTAGGAATGTGCCCAAAGCATGCAAGGCACAAATTGCAATTAAACCAAAATTTTGTGTCATAATTGTTTTCATTTTCCCATTGCCATCCCTGTCCATGCCTAAAATAACCAATTCACTGGGCTACTAACACAGGAGGAACAACGATATTTACCAAATTCTGGAACACTGGGCTTCACAGCCAGCGTCAAGCCAAGAAAGCAGTCCTCAGGTTCAGCACCAAAGTCTGATAATTTCAACTCAAGCGTTGGCTTTGCTCCTGTGAAATAATGCAGGCGAATAATTAATAATGGACACTAATAAGGGAGGTAGGTACACAAGAAAAAAGGGGAATGGGAAACCTTACCCATGATACTTAGCTTCAGGTCAAGTGGATCACGGAGTGAATGAGGAACCCAGCCAACCTATCTATCTTATGTTAGTAAGATGATCAAATTTATAAGATTGCAAATTAAATAAAAATAAAAGAAAAGCAGAGAGGAAGAGAAGAAGACTATGTTACATGGAAAAAGGGATGTTGTAATGATTCATCTGCAGCTGGCCTCCTTGATGGATCCCATGAACATAGTTGCTGCAGACAGTGAAGAAAGAAAAATATATAAGCATTAAACAAATTTTTCAAGGAATTACTAATGGAAGAAAATTGTACAAACAACTCTCACTTGGATCAAATCAATAGCTTCTGGGCTTGCGTTTGGAATGATATCAGAGAGGTTTGCAGGCAAGATCTATCCAAAAGAATGATACAGTGAGTTAAAGCCAAGAAATATGCAAATTGCAGTAAACAGGTCCATGCAAAAGCTTGCCTTTTCATAATTAATAATGCCATATAATCGAGAGGCATTTGTCCCTTCAGCGAAGATAGTCAAGTCTGGAGTACCAAGCACACAGCATATCTTGAACAATTGGTCTATCTCACTGTCCATTGAAGAACTCGTTTTGTAAGATGTAAATAAGAAGTTCTCCCACGTTTTTCTTATTTTGAGTCAGATCATATGTTTCATTAAATCTCAAACTAACGAGGTCTATGACTCAAAAATACTGGACATGTTCCAAAAGTAAAATACCAGTTAAAAATACAAACAAATTCTTCCTCGTTTGAACCAGCTCAATGCACAGTCAAAATGTCAAAGAAATAAAGCACACCAGGACTGGCAGTAATAAATGGACTTAATTAGAGGTAAGTGCAAAAGAATAATGTTTACACACATTTTTCTCACCAAGCCAAAAACAATAAATGCAGGATGATATAATCACCTTTCACCAGGGAAAATAGGGGACAAATTGAAAAGCTCAGCTAGGATTGCGCCAGCTGCCCACATGTCTGTATATTATTCATTTGTTAATCACCACTTGAAGAAGAACAAAGAGATAATAAATCTCAAGCTTGATATAGGAAAATCTCATGCAGCCTAATCATAGATATGGCAACACCAATAAAAACCTCAAATATTCTTAAAACTTTTCATAATGAACAGGAGTACAATAAAGAACTAATAAAGATTGTGCTTACCAACTGCAGGAGTGTATAATTTGGACTGTAACAGGACTTCTGGTGCTCGATACCTAGGATGCCCACAAACGCCATAAAATGTAAAAGATAATCAATATGCATAGCTCTACCTGTGCAACACACTCGGAGACATTCACGCAGACGCGTGCATGCACACAATAAGATAACACGATTTAATAGGAATGCCCCTTCCCCAACTACCATACACTCACAGATGCACAAAATAAGATACTGTGATTGAATATGATTCACTCACCAACGTGTGGAAACATATTCGGTATAAGGAGGAACCGATGATACTTCTCTAGCCAATCCGAAGTCGGCAATTTTAAGAACATCATTTGTCACCAGCAAATTCTCTAAGGGGGGAAAATGGTCTTGCTGTTAATTTCTTTAGATAAAATATTTCAAACTATAGAGATGCATGAAAACACAACACTGATAATATGTTATACCCGGTTTTAGATCTCGGTGAAAATATCCACTTCTATGGAGGTGATTAAGTCCATGCAGCAATTGAGACATAAAGCTACGAATCTCATCCTCTGAAAAGGGTCTTCTTTGTTCTTTCATTATTTGGTATAGATTATAGTTCTGGAAACATGAAACTTTGGAATCAAACACATATTACATGATGAGATAAATTTGATCAACTGGGGTTCATCAAGTTTCAAATAAGAGTGTGATATCATTTTGCACGAGATATACAATAAAAATAAATAAACCACATATCAATGAGAAGGCAAAAGGTCTCTCACCATGTACTCAAAAATGAGGAACACCTCATTGTTTTCCCTGACAACCTCCTTCAACTTTATGATATTGGGGTGATTTAATTTACGGAGTACCTGGGCAAAGCATTTGACTTATCAATCAAAACAATGAGAAGGACTTATCTATTTGATTTAGCAATCTGCAAAATGTGAAAGCTCATATTCAACAATATTGAACCATTAAAATTTCCATGGGAGATACCTTAATCTCTCGTAATCTCCAGTATTCCTCCCAGAAAAAGAACTTCCTCTTCATCTTTTTGACTGCAACCTGAGGTCAGAAAAATAGAATAAAACTAGGATGGATATGTTTATGTAAAATTGCCCTACCCTACACTCCTAACTAATTCACTCTTATTACAAAACTAGAAATAACACTTGATCTTAATTTCATCTTCTGTCTCAATATTTCTTTAAAATGCTGTTATCAACTCCACACAAAATTAAGAATCATCAAAAGTATCTGATCCAAAAGTTCACAATTTGTTGCAAAACTAAATAAGTTGAGAGGTAAAAATCGAATATATATATTATGAGAAAGATTAATTTCTTTTGTAAGGAGAAGCATACAATCTCATTTGTTCTCCAATCACGAGCCTTATATACACTACCACAAGTGCCATCACCAAGCTCCTCCAAAATTTTATATCTGGAAAAAAGAATTCAGATAGCAACAAACTATAAGAATAAAAAATTGTGAAACTTTTGATTTTAGACAATTCAATGCATTTGAAAGCAACCAACCTTTCCATTATTTAAATTGCAACAGATTATAATCGACAATCTTTCAGTGGAATTTAAACAGCCTCCAAGAAGAGGTGACTATGCTGTCAACACAGTTTTGGTCATTGGCTTCTAGATATGGTATAGTGCTTACGTCTAGCATCAAGCATTTGGCATAGTCAAGAATCAACTTACATTTTGCAACCCTCCACGTGAACTCCAGAGACCAAGCATTAAACTTAGCTGAAGAGTTTTAATCCATTTTCTTTACATCTGCTTCACTTATACCCTCATATAAAAAACTGGGGCTGTTGAGCTGCAGTAGATGGTAAAGAAAAACAAAATTAATTTTCAACTCTTAACAAATTCAACCATTCAACTTGAAGCAAAGATCATGTCTTTTAATAGCCACCACAACTGATCACTGTTTTCCTGTATGGTCGCCACAAAAGAAGCAGACAGAAAGAAAATCGAACCCAATAATTTCGTTAGGCTTGCAAGACTAAATCTTTTTCCCTTCGTTGGTCTAATCTTACATGAACTCCAATTCAAAATTGTGATACCCTGCCCCATCCTATTTGTTCAAAGATCAAACCAAGCATTTTTTGAAAATGACAAATCTATTAGACCTATATCCCCTCCCATCAATCCAAGTCCTAAACATGAAAATATATACTCAATTAGAAAAGTAATTCAAATACTCTAAAAAGAATCAAACTTTAGAATATCAGTTATAAATATAAAGTATTTGTTTACGGCACAACAATCATCTCCACTCATTTAAGCCTGGTTCGACTACAAACTTGGGAGCTAAAGCAACAAAGAATAGGACCCAGAATTCTATTTTGTTTCATTTTCTTTCTTCTTTTATTCCTTCATTTCTTAAGAACCAACCACAGCCTAAAATGAGAACCTCAAGTGGTATTTCAATCTGTAAACAGCTAAAATACAATCAAACACAAAGCCTGAAATTCAGAAAATTATAGAAAGAACAAAAAGAAAAATGAAAGAGACTGAACTCACAATTGATGCTAAATTGAAACAACCAGAGAAACTTTACGAGCAGGATATAGATCAGCAATGCATAAAGACTTTTCTTGGAGAAACCAAGAAAGAAAATTTTAGAGAGAGAATCTTCGTTTGAGAGGAAGGGAAGCTTCAGAAAGAGAGAAAATTTGGATTGCTGGTGAGGCTATGAGAGGGAGAAGGATTCCGCATAAGAAGCAAAGAAGAAGAAACCAAGCAAATTATTTATAAAAAAAAAACGGAAATTATATAAAATATTTGTTTGTAATGATTTTATTGGTTCGTTAGATCATTAAAAATTAAAAGAGAGTTTCACTAAAACACTCAAAATTAACCTGAAATTATAAAAAAATCAAACACTCAAAACACTTTATAAACACATCCAAAACTCATCATTACACACATTCAAAACCTATTTATAAACACACTCAAAAAATATACAATTGTTAATTTTAGGATTGATTTTGAGTGTATTTTTATATTTAAATAATGTTTGAGTTTTTTTTATAAATACATATTTAGAATTGAATTTATTTATAAATTTGTAAAATTAAAAATAGAAAATGCTTGGTTTACTCGTGGTGGGGAAGGGAGGTGGTCCCGCGCAATTGCCCCAAAATTGTTGTGGGTCCATTACCTCGAGAAATTACACAATGACACTGTGGTACCATGTCAGCATGCACATTTTCCATTCAAATATAGCCACATGTCTGTTCTTTTGACAGCTGGACGCATCAATTTATTTATATAAATAGAATTAAAATGATACCTTTTAGATTTATCCTCCCCTCTTTTTATTTGAATTGTTACCTTAAAGATTTTTTTAAAAAATACTAAAACTCATTTTAATTGACTCAAAAAAAAAAAAAAAAACTCATTTTAAAGAATCCTTTTTAGAAAGAAAAGACCATTTAAAGAAGTGAATTGAAAATATTATATTCTAGATTCTTTTGGGATAATGTTGAACAAATTGAAAGTCAATCTCCATGTTCACATCAATAAAAACATTAAAATCAGGAAATTTGGAATTTCCATAAGAATAATACTAGTTTTACCACATTTTTTATACCACATGATGTGGCAGCTGATGTGTATATACCACATCATATAAAATATTAGTTTTTGTTTTTCTAATTTTATTTATTAAAATACACTTCATTCATTTAATTGATGTGGCATATGATATGAATATGCCATATCATGTGGTATAGAAATGTGAGATAATAATGTGGTAAGTGTAGCATTACTCTTTCCATAATCATGAGGACAGAGCTAATATGAAAAGCTAAATGGTGTTGATAATTTACAAAATTTGACTTCATGAAGTCCACTCTTACAATGATTAGAGATTTTACAAAGTTAGTACTGAATTTCTCTCTTTAATGATAAAAGAAAGATATCTCAAATTTCTAATCTCTAGTTTAACCAAAAAAGAAAAATTCTAATCCATAGCTGATGAGGATGAGCACCATTGTAGAGAACAACTTAAAATCTGGTATCTGCATAAGACCAACTGAAGCACTAGCATAGCTGAAAATGACCTAGTCTGCTAGATAACAGGCCTCCCTCTGCAACCCATTTGCTCAATCAATTTGAGAATGTCTAGGCAATGCTCAGGTTCCTCTTTCTTTACTAGGATCTCCAGATATGGTAAAATTGCAGCCTTTTCCTTGATGTCATTGTGTCTTAATAGGTCAGAGAACAGTTCTTCACCTTGTTCAGCCCTGCCTTCACTATAAAGACCCTGAATCACTGAACAGTATGATGAAACAGATGGAACAAAACCATGGTTCAGAATTGTTTTCATGAAGTCCAGACAATGATCAAATTGGCGTTCCTTGCAGTAGCTGTTGATGAGAGCACAAACAGCCTTCTCAGGAAGCAGACCACGTTTTAGTAAATCTTTGGTAATCTGATCTGCTTCAGCAACTCTTGCCTCCCGGCATAAACCCATAACAACAAAGTTGTACAAATCTGTTGCCGACCCACCATATCTTTTGATCTTTTCTTCAAGACTGAAAGCATGTTCGATCTCCATATTTCTAAAAACATGTCTGGAAATGCAATCATCATTAGCGTACCTTGACGGTAATGTTCCAGCATCTACAAAGTTGGAAGAACTAACTGATCTTGCTTCTTCCTTAGCCTCGCTTGACAAAACAGAACCTGCAAGGAGCGCAGAATAGATTCGAGTGCTTGGTTGATAACCTTTTTGAACCATAACACGCAGAATCTCATAGGCATGATCCAACCTACCAGCATTAACAAGAGCTTCAATTAATACAGTATATGTAATGTGGTTTGGAGGTATCCCGAAATCAGACATACTAAAGAGAAGGATTTCAGCTTCCTCCACTCTTCCATTTTGGCAGAGGCCATTGATCACAACGGTATAGGTGTAGACATTTGGAGGGCAGCTAGTCTGCCTCATCAAATCCAACATTTTCAGTGCACAGGTAATCTCACCAGTTTGGCAAAGCGCATTGACTAATATTGTATAAGTCACTACAGACGGGACTGATCCATACTTTAGCATCTTCCCCAACATTGCCTGCGTTGCATGCACCTTATCATCTTTGCTGAGAACATCAAGAAAACAATTGAATGTGTGTGCTGTTGTCAAGGTCCTCTTCTCTACCATCTTCCCAAAAAGCATTGATGCATTTCCAATTTCACCAATCTTGCAATACCCATCAATAAGAGCTGTCATAGTAACTTCATCAGGGGAAATACCTTTCTTTACCATTGAACCTAAAATGCTGATTGCATGCCCTGGTCTCCCTTGTTTACAGATCCCATCAATTAAGGCAGTGAAAGAAAAACAATCTGGTTCAAGACCAAATGAGCTCATTGAATTAAATGTTTCAAAAGCCAATCCAAGTTGGCCTTCTCGGCAAAAGCCATCAATTAAAATATTGTAAGTTACTCTGTTAGGCAACAAACCATTATCAACTACTCTTTTCAAAAGAAACATGGCTTTGTAAGTTTTATAAACTTTGCATAGCCCTTCCATGAGCTCATTGTAGGTACGAATGTTAGGCTTACATTGTCTTTTCTCCATCACACCAAGTAGCTCAAAAGCAGAAATCACGCGCCCTTCTTTGCAGTATCCATTTATCAGTGCATTGTAAGTTACTGTGCCAGGAAAAAGCCCATCTTTAAGCATCTTTCTAAACATTGCATTGGCCTCCTCAATCTTTCCTTCCCTGCATAATCTATCAATCACTATGGTATAAGTATGAACATTAGGTTTACAACCCTTTGAAACCATCTCATCAAGCAAACCTAGAGCCTTATCAGTCAACCCAATGTCACACAAAGCCTTGATGAGTACAGTATATGTACGAGTAGTCGGCTGGCAGCCCTTCTCACTCATCTCTTTTTTCAGATGGAAAGCTTCATCAAGTTTACCAATCTGACAATAACCATGAATCAATATGGAGTACGTCACGGAATTAGGTCCACAGCCACCCCCTTTAGACATTAGATCAAACACCCGGGAGGCCTCCCGGAGATTACATTCTCTACAATTACCCAACACCAAAGAAGTACAAATATGAGTGTCCAACTGAAACCCAAGTTTTAAAACCATGCACAAGAACATTTCAGCAGATTGCACAAACCCATTCTTGCATAACGCATTAATTATAGTCCTGTAGTCAATAACACCAAGAAGAAACCCATTGTCTACCATTCTTTTATACACCAAGAATGACAAAAACCCCAAATCCAAACTAGCTAAAGACATCAAAAGACTACTATAACAAGGATAACTCAACCAAAATCCAATCTTTCGCATATTATCAAATGCCTCCATCAGCTTTAGAATCTCAGGTTCACTATTACTGAACTCCTTGATTAACAAAATGATGGCTTTTTGTGCAATCACATACAAACTCGAAGAAGACACCATCAAATTCAACAGAAGAATTCTATTATCAAAGTCATAACAATAAGTAGAATGCTTGCAAACCCACTTGAAAAACCGTACCCCAAGTTCAATGTCGTTGCCGTGAAGCTGTAAAACCTTGGTAGCTGCACATGGGGCCATGTGAGAGACCAGTGACTTAAGAAGATTGTTCCTTTCCCAATTGGGTTGCTTAAGAAAAGCTGATACTCGAGAGGTCGTGTCATCTAAGCTTTCTGGGATTGCTTGGCTGCGTGAAGATTGATATGAAACAGAGGAAAGCGAGGGAGGAAGTTCAAACAAGTAAGGAGCTCTCGATAGGACGTTTAGGATCTTATTTGTGCGAACCAACATGCAGAGACTGAGGTGTGAGATGAAGCTCAACTATTTTTCATTTTGCAAACTGAAAATAAGGGCTGTTTTGGAGGGACGTCTTCGAGTATTTCAAAATATATATAATTTTTTCTTTTTTATTTCTGTGAGCCTCCTCCACCTAGAAACCCTATAGCTTGGAGAAGAAGAACATCTTCAGTACAATTTTCTGGCTAATGGGCTTGTCAAATTTGGGTCATAAATTGAACTCGGGCTTTACTCAATACAACAATAGCACTCCTCAACTTGGGGTCATCGTCGCATCATGATGAGCCCCGTAGTTTAAATTAAATTAAAGTAAAATATGTTTACATAAACATATATAAAAAAGAAGCTATTCTCCCATGTTCCTCTATTTTTAGTGTCAAAGTTTGTTTTTAGTGTCAAAGTTTGTAAATGACTCTTAAATATATTGTCATGGTTTTTTTTAAACAAGCGATAGTCTAAATTATACGATGATATAGTTTCTCAAAAACACCATTAAGGTGTCATGGAGTCTCGAACTTGAGACCATTAGTCTGCAAGTCAATATCCTTTTTCATTGGTTAAACCCTGTTGGCATATTGCGATGTTTTAGTACTTTCTCTTTTAAGCAAAAGCTCTCCAATCTTGCTGCCCACAATGCAAAATGAACAGGGAACTCAAAGCATCATCATTTACAGCAATATGGTAGCAAGAAATTATAACCGCACATCACTGGATGCAATAATACACAACCTTCTCATTTAGCTACATAAATTTGGGCAGTTCTAAGCATCGTATCAACCTAAGGCTCCACAATTATCTTTCCAGTAGCATGCCCATCAATGCTCTTAGCCCAAGCGTCCTCTGCCTTGGTCAGGGGATACTTTGAGTCTATTATTGTCTTGAGCTTCCCTTCTCTCACCAACTTAAGAAGATAATCCAGGTTCTGAGCCTTGGGAGATAAGAGCAGTGGCACCAGTTGCTTCTTGGAAAAGGTAAGTTTTCCCAAAGCAAAGTTCGCTACGGCACTGAGGCCGGGAGTGATATCTATTACCTTACCATTTGTACTCAAATTAGGCTCAAAAGTTGACCAAGGAATGCCAGTTGCACAATGGATCACAGCATCATATTTTCGACCAGATGGACTCTTCAGAGTTGCTCCTTCTGGGGTCGTGTAGTCAATAACCTCATCAGCACCTAGGCTCTTGACCAATTCAAGGTTACGAGCTCCACAAGTGGCTGTCACATGAGTGTTTCCGAGCTTTGATAGTTGAACTGCATAGAGACCTACACCGCCCGAAGCAGCTGTGATCAGAACGTTTGCTTGCTTACCACTTCCATCAAGCTTGATCCCAGCAGATTGGATAAGGGCCTGGTGAGCAGTGAGACCAGCAACAGGTAATCCTACGGCAGTGGCTGCTGAAACTTCAGGTGGCCTTGCAGCAGTCAAGCTTTCCTTAGTCACAGCAAGCTCAGCTAGTCCACCTCCATTCTAAAATTCAATATCCATGAACAGACGAAACAGACAAACCGGCTTAGCATGTATCAATTAAATGATGCATGACATATTATAAGTGAGACATTCTACCACCTGGATTTCAAATTCAGCACATTGGGAATGGTTTCTACATGCAAAAGTTCAGTTTCATGCCAACAGTAATGACACTAAGGAAAGAGGCACAAAATACCGACGAGGGGTTACTGAGGGTTTACAGACACAAGGATTCTGGTGGATCAATGGATACTACTTTACAAATAGGTAGAAAATTATTCGTAGATGTTTTATGGAAAGAATAGCTATATTATGTTCTCAAGTATATAAATGTTCAAGTGAAACGGGGAACATTTTCATGTCAAGTGAACCAAAACATATGGAAACTTACAAGAGGATTAACCATAGCTACAACTTTGTCACCAGCTTTGAATTTTTTCACTCCTGGTCCTACCTGTACAACCTCTCCTGCCACATCAGTACCTGTTCCAAATTTCAACAAGGAATAACTTCAGTCAACAGAACAATACTCAGGAAAAGATGGTCCAGTGAAAGTTCAATACATTAGGTTTTAAATCTCATCAAAGAAAATGCATACTCCTTCCCTCCCAAAAACACACGAAGGCCACCCCAGAAGCTATTTTGACCAAATGAATAAGAAAACAGAACATTCAAGTGCAAATTATTAGCATGTTAAGCGTTTACAGAACACTCATCCTACGTTTTCAAGACGAAGCTCAATATAATATTTGGAAAGAAGTATAATTAAAGAGGTGTAAACATGAAAAGCATCCCCTAGACAGCAGAGTGTCTCAAGAAGATAGCAAAACCAAATTACCAGGTATGTGTGGAAATCTGCGAGGCAACAATGGCCACAGCATGCCTTTCTGAACTTTCCAATCAAATGGGTTTAGACTAGCTGCCTCCAATTTCAGCAACATCTCATCTTTGTTTGGATTGGGAATTGGAATTTCAACATGCTGCAATTGGCACCAAAATTGAGTGAGGGCCAATGACTTAACAATAATATGTTCTTCAATGCATAAACAAATTGAATGTTTCCCAGTACAAAAGCTAGTCTTGGTCATTCTCAACCACAACCTCAACCCCACCCCTACGAGAAGAAAGAAGAACTTGCATGTCATGGGAATATAGAACTGTTTTGCTATCCCCAATCAATCACGTTATGCCACGTGTGATATGTGACATGCAAGTTTTTCTCCACCCGTACCCCTTCCCCCAACAGAAAAACATTAGCATATGGAAAGGAGAAAACTCAGAAAAGACTCTCCCTTTATCTTTTCCTTCACAACATTTCAAATTTTGATTTACTCAAACAAGTAGAAAAAAGATCCGTTAGGCACCGTGTGAAAATGGGTTTCATTTAATTTTCATAGGGTTTATAGTGGACAAGTTGATCGTGTAATGTAAAAGGGCTTTTCTTCAAGGACAAACAGAGAGTACAATTCAAGAGAATTTTCCTTCTTAACATTTCAAATATTCAATTACTCTAACAATAACAAGTACTTGAAAATGGACCCATTTCATTACAAGGTTTGGACACCAATTTTCTTATAGTGGAAAAGGGCTTTTCTTCAAGGACAATCATAGAGTATAATTCAAGAGAAACAAAAGAAAGGAAACTAATTTGACAGAGGGAAACAAAATGAGTAACCTTTAAGCCAGAAGGTCCTCCACCGTAGCCATCATACTGAACCGCATGCATAACATTTTTCGCCATGGCCTCAGTTTTGTTCAGCAGAGTCGACAGAACTTGAAGCTCCTCTCAGATTTTAAGAAGTAAGCTTGGGTGCACCGTACACCACTGTGAGACATGTGAAATGACTAAATAGCCCACGCCTATCGTGGAACAAACTTATACACGTGTTCTATGTCACCTGCAGCGGGGAAAATGCGTCGTCTATAAACACATTCACTTCTCTTGACCATTGGAGCAAGAGGAAGACTTCGAGTTATCTTGTTGATGAGGTTGTGCGACAGGAAGGTGAGGAGGAAGAAATAGAATGGTTAGCGGCGGGATGGTATCATAAGATAAATACACATTGACCACAATGGCGTCGTTCCGTGCCTCACCGACTTCAATCTGGCTCGTCGTACTCGAACTTTCCAGATTCGGATCGTTGTGTGGGCTTCACACAGCTGCTATCATTGCTGCAACATTCGGCATGGCCAACCTAGTGGCTCGTCCCTTCGGAGGGTTTGCTTCTGATCGAGCAGCCAGGTACTTTGGCATGAGAGGAAGGCTATGGAGGATGATTGCCAAAAGTCCCACATCGACAAAATAAGTGATCATACGAGGTTTATAAGGAATAATATGACACTTCACATTGCCGAGCCGTGGGCTTGTAACTAAGTAGGGCATTAAAGTGATTGGTTGTTTGATTGAAACCTTCTTAAGTGAGGTATAGTGATCTTGGACTGTTCATCTAAACCATGATCTTGGTGGTGAAGTCGCACAAAGCACAACCCCAACCCTCGGGGCTAGCAGGGTCCCCCAACCACAGAGGTTGGGTAGCAAACCTCAAAATGAGAATTTGACTGGGGGTTTGTTTGACCCCACGGACCGAGATCCCGCCATGCCTCAGTGTGCTGCCTGAGATAGGAACTCATCACACAATCACTTTTTCTCTCCAGCTCCTCCCATTTTCAACCTCTTATTCTCATACAAGTACTTGTTTTTCATCTTTCTTTTGTGTTGGGAGTTATCTACAACAACTATCGTTCTTGAGATCCATTCAAATATGCCTAATCAAGTTTTTGTCCCACATCCACTTCAAAAATATTTCTTTTATTTTTATTTTTTGCTAGGTAGGAACAGAGTAGATTTGTTTCATGATTCATAATGCTTCTGCTTTATATCTTATTATTTATATTTTATTTTTGCTAGCCTCTAAACCCATATTACTTCTTTGGTAACTGATCTTTTTTTAGAGAACCAGATGAATTACTGTGAAATATAATCAACATGAAAAATGAACAATAAATCCAAACCTCATTATTTACAACATTGATTCATGATTATAAAAAACCTCACATTAGCGAGGGAGTTTTAGTTCAAGTGATCAAGAGTATTAACCCTGCATTTGAGGTCCTAGGTTTGATTCCCCCTCCTCCCCAATATCGTTTGTATTAAAAAAAACAAAAACAAAAACAAACTCCACAATATTATATGAATTAATTACAATTTTGGTCATTGGAGTTTGGCTTGAAACCAATTTTAGTCACCGTGATTTTAATTTTCCCGATTTCATCACTGTACTTGCAGTCGTTAACAAATCAAGTCAAAGTCTTCAATTCCATTAGTTTGGTAGGAGCTTTATTGTCCTAAAAATTAAATAAATTTTTTAAATCAAATATATAAAATTAAAAAAAGAAAAAAGAAAAAGACAAAGCCACCCCATTCTAACCTCTCTATCATATCCATCAAATCCCAACGAACCAAAATTGTAATTACCCCATTAATTGCACATAACCATCTGTATCAAACGACTTCCATTATTTCGACCAAAAAACGAACGACTCCCATTAGAGACATGAAGTTTATATCCCACTATAGTTTTCTACTTAAGGCTCCACAATTATCTTCCCAGTTGCATGTCCATCAATACTCTTAGCCCAAGCATCTTCAGCCTTGCTTAGAGGGTGCTTAGAGTCGATCACTGTCTTGAGCTTTCCTTCCTTCACTAACTTGACAAGATAATCAAGGTTCTCACTCTCAGCCCACAAGAGCAGTGGCACCAGCTGCTTCTTGGAGAAGGTGAGTGTGTTCTGAGCAATAGCAGCCCAGGTACTTGGACCAGGAGTAATGTTTATAACCTTCCCGTTGGCGCTCAAATTAGGCTTGAAAGTTGACCAGGGAATGCCCGTTATTGCACAATGGACAGCGACGTCATATTTCCTACCAGATGGGCTATTCAGAGCTGCTCCTTCTGGGGTCTTGTAGTCAAGAACCTCATCTGCCCCCAAGCTCTTGATAAATTCAATATTACGAGCACCGCATGTGGCTGTAACATGAGTGTTTCCGAGCTTTGCTAGTTGGACTGCATAATGACCCACACCACCAGAGGCAGCAGTAATCAAGATGTTCTTTTTCTGGCCACTTCCGTCGAGATTAAGCCCTGCAGCTTGGGTGAGAGCCTGGAGAGCTGTGAGACCGGCAATAGGTAAGCCTGCACCTTGAGCTGCTGAAACTTCAGGTGGCCTGGCAACTGTCAAGCTCTCACTAGCTGTGACAAACTCAGCCAGTCCACCTCCATTCTAACAAACAAATGAAATTTATAAGTGAAACTTGTTGCCAAGTGCCATAAATTCTTCAAGAAAGGGAGAGATTAATCAAAGGAATACAATGAAGGCTTACAGCGAGGGTGAGATATTGATAAGTGTATTATTTCCTATATTTTTACACCTTTTAT